CTGATATGCCTCTTCATCCAACTTCCTGATTTCTGCCATAACTTCTCTGAAGCTGTTAACTGTAGTTGCCTTGGCTGCTATCCAGAGTGCATCCTTCATTGCTTTGCCTAGAAATCCTCCAAGCTTCATGTTCCCATGAAGATGCCTCACACAAAATCTATGTGAGGCATATGGAAACACTTCATCAAAAGCTGGAAGAAGCCATTTCTGTTTGTCTGCAACCAATTTAGAAAACAAAACATATTACAGGTATGGAGAGTATAATAGATTACACTGGTATGAACAATGTTTATACCTGAGATAAATGTAAGCTACTGTTCTGCTTCATGAGTGATTTCTAGGTCTGTTTTAATGAAATTCAAGAACAAGATCCATGAATCCTTGGTTTCTCCTTGTTTTTTTCAATCTCCAACTTGTAGCTCCATATTTTGTTGAAAAATTCAATAGCTTCTCCTTCAATGACTTGCTTTGCTTTTTTCATAGCTCTATAAGCTTGCTTGGTGGACAAATCAAATCCCTCATTTGCTTTGACCCTCTCTCTAAATTCTGCAGTGGTCCAGTTGCTGTTGCCACCAATCTCTTTCATCCATCTCTTTGCAATCCTAGTTGATTTAACCATGATGTTCTCATAAACCCAACCACAGCCATCATGCAATTCATTATAACTGGCAATTCTCCATGACAAGGCATTTTTAACTTTCCAAAGATTAATTCTGAAAGGGCAACCAACTTGTTTACATCTAACATAGACCCTCTCTTTGTCATTCCTAATAAACTTCAATTCCTTACCATAATTGTGGACTGCATATTTGAATTCTACCTTTGATGCAAATGTTAAACGAACAAAGAATTTAGGGGAACACATTTGAGTGGTAGCCCTAAATTCTGGCCATTTCATGTTGCCTTCTTCATCACCGTCCTTAGCACTATCTTCATCAGACAATTGTAGACCATGATCATTGTCTAAAACCCTAGTACTCTCCCCATCAACAGGTTGTTCACTTTCTCTTACCCCATCAAACTCCACATTGTTATCAACATTGGCCTCAAACTCTAGGTCATCATTTCCCACTTCATGAGCACTATTCTCAAACTCATCTAAATAATCCCCAGATTCTGACTCATCCTCACTTTCTACTGATGGTGCTTCACCCTCACCTTCTCCACCACCTACTACCCAAACCTCAATCTCTTTGGGAAACATTCCAACATCGCAAATAGCCCAACAATCGCTATCATTACTTAATTCAAATATGGTGTCACTACCAGTAGGGATGAAATATTTAAAGGTGTCTAACATATTGTATCCCAATTCCTCAACTGTTTCCCTAAGAGTTATCATGCCCCACAAATCAATGTCTAAATGAAAACTGTTAACAACCCCTCCAATATATCCAATTCCATGTGTCTTAAGACGACCACCATGTCTTAACTTCAGATTGAATTGAGCTGTGTTACTTCCTCCATCTATGTAGCAATTTAAATCAGTTTACTAATTAAAAGTCAACAAAGCAACAAAACAGAGAAACATACAAAGCAAATTGTGGTCCCCTTCTAAAGAAAAAAAAAAAAAACCTACTGCCCCATGTGGTCCCCCTTTGAATACACAAAAAAATGGAGATATACTGCATTTAAAGTGAAACACCACCCACACCATTCAAAGCATATGTATATCAAACAACAAAGTGAAACACCACCCACACCATTCAAAGCATATGTATATCAAACAACAAACAACCACTGACATGTACAGAATATTTAAAGCTAATGAACTTGCACATTTTCAGTTCAGTATATACCACAACTCAAACACTATATATACCAGCAACAAGCATAACAAATCAACCTATTTCATATTCTACCACACATTAAAAAAAACACATACGATTTTGCAACAATTATTTTCACTACATACACACAACACTCAAATTCACCTAGGGTTTCGCTATTATTCTCAAACTACGTATACATACAATGCAGAAAAATCCAAAATTACCGGGGGTATTGTTGTCGCCTTGTCTGACGCCATCCATTGTGCTTGCTCCCTACGTCCTCGCCTTCGCATTCGCCTTCGAGAAGATTAGGGTTACTGTGGTCTTCGAACTTCTGAGCTGCTTCTGTTCGTATAAGTTGTTTATTACAAGCAATGTTGCAAAACACGCTAGGCGCCGATTTTTTTATTTTTTTTAAAATTTTTTTTATTTTTTTAATTAAAAATAAAATTAAAAATTAAATTTTTTTAAAATTTAGTAAGAAAACATAAGGTTTCCATAGTTATTTCTTAGAAACTATTTATGAAAGTAGTTGTAAAAGTGTTCAAAAGATTATTTAAACCATCTAAATACATAAAAAACTAAAATTAAGAGCTAAAGAAGCATTTTTTTGAGAAATTAGTGGACCAAACCGCCTTCGGCTGTTTCCAATGGATAGATCTCGAAAAAAATACTCGATTTGAAAAAAAAATTTGTCCAAAACGGACAACCGAGTCAAAAGTTATGCCTTCCCGAACTTTTCGCAATTTAAAACGTAAAAAAAAAAATAAAATAAAATAAACGCCGGTTCAGTGCCGGTTCAGCCGGCTAGGCGGTCTAGGCGGCCGCCTAGCCGGCCGGCCGCGGAAGAGGCCGATTCCGGCCTTCTTCGCGGCGGGGGCCGGGCGCCTAGAGCCTAGGCGCTGATTAATCGGCGCCTAGGCGCGATTTTTTTGCAACCATGATTGCAAGTGTAACACCCCGAAATTTTTCAACTTTTAAGATTTATATAATAAAGGTAAATTCTCATCAAAACCCAAGCATAGTATAATAGAGTACGGGGTGCTATGCCACACCTGAGGTGGAGAACTCAGGTGCACAGGCTAACTAAATAATATCCTCAATAATATAAATACATAAGCACGACACGCAGGCCGAAAGGGAAACTATCTACTCTACGCTTCAAGTCTTTAGCGCGCTCTAGTGTCTACTCCTCTGTGCCTGAAAGCCAAATATATCTGTTCAGCGAGAGATGATGGTAACCCATTCCAACGCGTTGAAATATAGTATATATATATATATATATATATATATATATATATATATATAAATCATTTCAAAGCAGGAAGACATATACTTAAGAGACACTAGGTTTAAAACCAGGAATAGACTCAGCAAATAGGGATAAGTACATCAGACAACAACAATAACATCATAAGGAATACGCATTTACAGTCACAAGCCACTTCTCAATTCCAATCCACATCATCATCCAATCATCATTCATATCACATAATCATTGGTGGCGCCATGGGACCAATCACATGCCCCGAACATGAGGGTTAATGCCTATAGCATTAACACGGCCCTGCAGCACCCTACCTCAGTACCGCGGTACGAGGGGATTTGATCGCAACCAACCCTTTGAGAACCGCTGACGAACTCAACGTCGGACCACGATCTGACACACCGCTGACGCGTCCAGTCGGTGGACCGCGATCCCCTTTACAAGGGGGGACTTACGACCCTACACACCGTTGATGCGCACAATCGGTGGGCCGTAGCGGATCAAGCCCGACACACCGCTGAGCTAAACTCAGTCGGTGGGCAAAGATCCTCGGAGACTACGGTCCTACATACCGATGTCCCACCACTCGGTGGGTCGCAGCCAATCGTATCCCTACACATCGCCTGATTACTCAGGTCGGTGGACTACAACCTTCCTCGGCTTGTTGGCCCCATACCGCCTGGCGCGTCCTTGTCGGTGGGTCATATCACCGAGGCCCATGTGGACCTTCAGTCCTATACATAATCCTTATATACCTGACCGGTCTCTACCAGCCTGGTTAACAGTTGGGATGGTTCTCAACCCATTCAATTGCCCGTATAGTGGACCTCAGTCCTATATCATATTAATATCCCTGACCGATCTTAACCGGCTTGGTTAACAGTTGGGATGGTTCTCAATCCATTCAATTGCCCGTATAGCCCAATTGATCTTAACCAAGTTGGGGTCATGCATCACGTAACACATAATAGCACATAATAACACATAACTCACATAGGGAAGGGGGAGACATATAATTAAGCTTACATGTGATCATTCACATATTAAGAGCAATTCCTAAGGGTTCATATAACTTCCACCTAGGTCCACGGGTTACCAATTCAACTAGCATGCAATTCCTAAGACTCGTTTAACCTACGAATGGTACCCGAAACCAAACTAGACTCAGGCACGACAAACGGGGTCTGTCGGGACACCATGGGGAACGGGGAACATCAAACGGGGTATGGACCAGCGGGTAGCCGGTGGGTGGGGGTCACTCGCCGGCTGCCCGCCGGTGGGCGCTGTTCCTGTAACACCCCCATTTTTCATAACCAAAATTTTCCTTAATTCTTTTATCTTAATTTACAATTTTACAAAAATCATAGCGGAAGCATTAACTAACCAAAAGAAAAATGGGTGTTACCGCCACGCTCAGGTATTTCCCTATACCCAAACGCTAAGGCTAAGATTTACAACATCAAATAAACTCAACCGAAATCCAACTTCTATAATACAAGAAAGGATAATACTATACAACCATAAAACTTCTCAAATAATAAATCTCCAATATGTCTATTCTTAATTCCTTCTCAACTTGAATTCATCTTGAATCCCATTATCCATGTTCACCTGTAAAAATAATTTGCAACAAAATAGGGTATAGACAAAAATTAGCATAAGCTAAGTAAGTTTCATTTCACCCCGTAAAATATAGGCTTGGATTTTAAATTTTCAAAAATAATATATACTTCTACAAAATACATGTGGAGTCATACTTTTCCTTGTATAGAGAATTAATATTTATAAATGGAGAATTAACAAACCTCATCGAAATCCACTTAGAATCTGGACTAAAACCTATGTGCACACCCCCCAGGGGATTCCAAGCCACTGGGTAGTAACACCCCCATTTTTCATAACCAAAATTTTCCTTAATTCTTTTATCTTAATTTACAATTTTACAAAAATCATAGCGGAAGCATTAACTAACCAAAAGAAAAATGGGTGTTACAGCCACGCTCAGGTATTTCCCTATTCCTAAACGCTAAGGCTAAGATTTACAACATCAAATAAACTCAACCCAAATCCAACTTCTATAATACAAGAAAGGATAATACTATACAACCATAAAACTTCTCAAATAATAAATCTCCAATATGTCTATTCTTAATTCCTTCTCAACTTGAATTCATCTTGAATCCCTTTTATCCATGTTCACCTGTAAAAATAATTTGCAACAAAATAGGGTGTAGACCAAAATTAGCATAAGCTAAGTAAGTTTCATTTCACCCCGTAAAATATAGGCTTGGATTATATATTTTCAAAAATAATATATACTTCTACAAAATACATGTGGAGTCATACTTTTCCTTGTATAGAGAATTAATATTTATAAATGGAGAATTAACAAACCTCATCGAAATCCACTTAGAATCTGGACTAAAACCTATGTGCACACCCCCAGGGGATTCCAAGCCACTGGGTAGTATATGATCCAAGTAGTAAGGTTTTCTTACCTACTACCACTCAAACAGTTTTGAAACTGGATCATAACCTAAGTGATACACCCCCAGGGGATTCCAAGCCACTGGGTAGTATATGATCCAAGTAGTAAGGTTTTCTTACCTACTACCACTCAAACAGTTTTGAAATTGGATCATAACCTAAGTGATACACCCTCATGGGATTCCAAGCCCAATGAGTGGTAATTAGTCCTAGTGAACAGTACTCACATTTACTGAACACCACACTGTACATTATTTTCTCAAAGTTTCACTATTTCTCCACAGATAAATACTTTTCTCCAAAAATAAATTCTTCATTTTTACAAGATATACTTTTCTCCAAAATATACAATTTTTCTATAATACATTTTTCTCAAAATATACAATTTCCTTCAAAATACATTTTCTCCACATGATCTGTCCAAAATCATTTTTACTCAACAATATAAAGGTAATACAAATTTCACAACGTGTATATACACCAAAATTTTCCAAGCCAATGATTTACACACACAGGACTCGACACGTCGAAGCCCATTCTCGATATTTCGAGAATCACCATACACAACAATTAAATTTATCGATAAATTTACTTGTGTTCACGTTAATAGCATATATCACACAAAATATCAATACATACAGTACTCGAGGAAAAATGATAATTTTGATGAACATAAAATCTTACCTCAAAAGTCCAAAACTTTATCAACAATTGATAGCATCTTAGTCACCATAAAAGAGAACCTGCTAATCAAACAATTCTAATATAATTTATTTTTGTTATTATATCCGTAGGACTGAATAATTCCCATCAATATATATTTCATGTTTAAACCACTAATCATAGTCATCATCAACTACTCACATCATTGTCATCCACAACATCATTCATAATAATCCGACTATAATCATTAAGAATTTATACCTCATCAACAACACTATTCTCTGGCATCATCAACCTCCGAATTTCCTCACTTCGCTATCATGTCTACAGAGCCGGAAAGCTTCGCCGGCAATCCTATATACACCGCTGGTCGAGAGAGTGAGAGGAAGAGATGGAGAAAATGGCGAAAGGAAAATGGAGGAAAACTGGCGTGGTGGAGTGCTGCGATAGAGAGAACTTTCGGCAATAGATATAGGGAAGAGATAGAGAAATAAGTGGGTTTGATGGAGAGATAAAGAGAAGAAGTGGTAGAGTACTATACGGAGTATAACGTCTGTATGTATCAATCATTAATCATAATGATTAGAATTGATTAGGAATGATAAGGCAATCATTGGGAGACGTAACCTATATATATATATATATTTAGGTGATTAGGACTAATTATAGGGGTTTTCAAAAAGGGTTAGTTATAGGGAATATACATATAGTATTGTATATGATGTATATATATATATATATATATATATATATATATATATATGGTGTAAAACTTTAAGAATGGGAATAGATTAGGATTATGGAAAATATTAGGCGCAATATAATATATAATAATATAGGGCTCATAATAATATGAATTTAAGATGATATTAGGTTAGACTTGGAATCTAAAGAATTAAAATAAAATTGAGTAACAAGGATAGGAGAATTTAATAAAACTAACTCCGTACACACACACGGTCTTCATATAGTGCCCAGAAAATACGGGGTATCACAGTTCCGGGCAGCGGGTAGCCGGCTGCCCGGTGGCTGCCCGCTGCCGGGCAGCGACCTTTTGGGCAGCGGGTAGGTGGTGGGTTCCCCCACTCCCACCTACCCTCCACTGACTCGTTCGTCACAAATTTGTCCCGGGATCCTTTGTGGAACCCGAAACCATGCTTAGACACTTTTAAACGCAAATAACGACATCACATAAGCAATTAATGGATCAAAACCAAGAATCATGTAGGACTTATCCTATATATAAACAACACCCGATCATGCGAATTCCCACCCAAATATAAATCAAGAACGTCACAATGCAAATTCCCAATCCGACATGGGGCTCTAATCCCACCCAAATCATCAAGAACATATTTTATCTTTAACATCAAGAAAATATCAAGATTCGTCAAGAATTCACATCATAATCAAGAATTTCCTTTTAACATCAAGATCATCAAGATTATCAAGAAAGCATGTAAATCATCTTATCAGTCATCAAGAACATAACATAATTATCATAGAAGAATTCAATCGAGACACAAGAATATAGAGGGAGGCCAAGGAAGGAGATTATAGCGAAGAAAATAGGTTTTGTTGAGACATGGGTTACCTCTTAGCCTTAATTAATTTCCTTGGCTATGAAGGGTCTTTCTTTGGGATTTCTCCTTTCTTGATTTCCCCTAAGGGAGTTCTTGGAACTTTCTTGTGTGGTGAGGGATTATTTGTGGTGTGAGTTCTAGGTGCATTCTATGTCCCTATTTATATAATTAAGAGTCCTAATTATGGTCTAAGTGGCATGGGTTTACTAATCCTATTCCTTATAGGACTAAGGGGTTGGCTTTAGGGATAAGGGCCCATGGACCATGGTGGACCCCCTTTTTGGCTAATTAATGGGTTTTAATTCCCTTTTTAGGGTGGGTGATAATTTAATTCATTTTAATTTAGGGGTCGTAACACGGGGTGTTACAACAAGTAAATAGCATTTGACTAATAGGCTTAGAGAAGAAGACCATTTAAAAGACGTGTTTGCCCTTCTGATAGACGGCTAAGAGACGGAGTATGTGATGGAGGATCAAAAGTGTCCACCGTTGAATAACGGTGGCTACTAAATGGCAATTTTTATTATGGAGGATGAAAATTGTCAACACCCTAATAAGTCTAGGACCAAAAATGGCATTAACTCTAATATAAATATAAATACTAATTTGAAGTTATGGATGTTTGGAGTTTATAATTAATGTTTTTGTATATTTTGTTATGAATTTATTATGATATGTATTTATTTTAATTAGATTTATTATTTTAGGTGTTATTTTTAGAAATTTAAATTTTAGCTTTAAAAATTTCGATTAATCGGTTAACCGAAAAAAATTTTGGTTCGGTGAATTCGGTAAAGCAAACTTCGGTTCAGTTAACGGTTAAAGGAAGAAAAAACTTCGGTTAGTTCGGTTCGATTAAAACGGTTCGGTTAACCGATTGAACACCCCTACGTGGTCTATAAGATTGCAGCGAAAGTCTGTGCCAATAGACTGAAACATTTTCTGGATAGGCTTATTTCACCAGCTCAGAGTGCATTTATCCCGAGCCGATTGATAACGGATAATATAATGTTAACCTATGAAGCCCACCATTACTTACGAAGGAAAACCCAGGGTAGGGAAGGAGTGGTTGCCCTAAAGGTGGACATGAGTAAAGCCTATGACCGGGTTGAATGGGGATTCCTTGAGGCCTTGATGGAAAAGATGGGGTTTGTGACACACTGGATTGACATCCTCATGGAGACGGTCCGGTCCGTGCAATATCATATACTACACGAGCACCAGCAGCTTGGACCTATAGCCCCGGAACGTGGGCTACGGCAGGGAAATCCGTTGTCACCGTATCTCTTCCTTTTAATTGCGGAGGGGCTTAGAGTGCTAATAGAGAGGCAGATGAGCTTAGGGAATTTGCATGGAATCCGTGTTGCTCGGGGTGCACCGCCAATATCACTCCTTCTCTTCGCAGATGACTGCTTCTTGTTTTTTCGTGCTAATACACAAGAAAGTGACTATATGAAGAGTGTTCTGGATACCTATTCGAAAGCATCAGGCCAGCAAATTAATTTCGATAAGTCCATGGCTTGCTTTAGTGCGAATGTAATTCAGCCTGTCCGAAATGAGGTGTGTGGGATTCTCGGGGTTACGGAAGGAAACACTACTGGAAAATACCTGGGGCTCCCGTCACTTGTTTGGAAAAGGAAGAAACAGATTTTGGGTTTCTTAAAGGACCGAATTTTGGCTAAGGTTAGGACTTGGAATGCGAAATTCCTATCGCGTGTTGGGCGAGAGGTTTTGTTAAAGAACGTAATCCAAGCGATGCCTTCTTACGCAATGATGGTCTTCCTTCTTCCTCTAGGCTTGTGTAAGGAGATTGAAACCCTCATGAACGAGTACTGGTGGACGGGTTTAGAAGGAAATGGTAAGAGCTTGAGGTTGAAATCGTGGGGTGGCTTAGCAACTCCAAAAACTGCAGGTGGGATGGGCTTTCGAAATCTACACGAAATGAACTTGGCACTCCTGGGTAAGCAGGCTTGGAGATTAATCACCAAACCAAGTTCCCTAGTGGCGAGGTTCTACAATGTCAGATACTATGCTAATTGTTCCTTTTTTGATGCAGCTCCGGGGAGTAACCCGCCCTTCATTTGGATAGGTCTGTTAGAGGTACAGAACATACTACGAGATGGGTGCAGGCGTAGTATTGGGAACTAATGGTACATCAATCAGGAGTTTTGCATGGTTACCGGTAGCGGAATGGGCGTATGTCCAAACTCCCCTAAGTGAAGCAGTCTATGAAGCCCCGGTGTCAAGTCTTTTTAATGCTCAAGGTACAGGTTGGGATGTGGCTCGTATTGTGCATATTTTTTATGTCAGGGATGCTAATCTGATTATGAATATCCCCATTACCCTGCGAAACCCACAAGATTCGTGGTACTGGTACTATGACCAGAAGGGTGAATACACAGTAAAATCGTGTTATAAGCGTTTGACTGAGTTGGTGCACGATGAATGACCATGGTCCTGCATTTGGAATATGGATGTGCCGCCCAAAGTAAAGCATTTTTCTTGGCAGCTGGGTTCTTCGTTTCTACCAACTAGAGATGCCTTACAGACTAAAAACATTCATTGTGCGTTGCTATGTCATATGTGCAGGGGACAACATGAAACTGCTTGCCACATCTTTGCTCAATGTTCGGAGGCTGTGCCTATCTGGAATTTACTAGGCATACCGACGGTAGGTGCTGCAAATGGTAACATCATTGAATGGTTTTTTGGTATCATTAAAGTCTTGCATGGTGAATATCTCTCTAAAGGGAAATCTAACCATTAATACATATAAATCCAGCGGAAGCATAACAAAGTCTTAAGGATGCTATGCCACATCTAGATATCCAATCTAAATGCACATGCTTACAAAAACTATTAACCAGAAGTCTACAAGTTCCAGGGCACAGAAGCCAAACTACTACAAAGCTATAAGAAGAAAGCTAGTCTACCGGGCTCCACTATCGCACTCTCGGCCTAACTACTTTGCACCTGAAAAACATATGGTATTACAACCATTAGCGAAAATTGCAAAGTAACCCACTCCAACGCGTTCAGTACAATACAATATAGTTTATAAGAAAATCACTTTTGAGACTTAGGAATACATACATATAGTCTTAGCAACACTAGCTTTAAAATAGAAGATAGAAGGGTCATTTGACTCATCAAGAGATTCACTCAAGCATACCGACTAACAACGGTTTAACAATGGAATCAATACAAGAAGACAATAATACAGATTCAACGATAATCAATGATAAGGTATTAAATGAACAATTATCAAAGGTCACATATAAGGAGATGCTCATAAGCAACGAATTTCAAGAAACATTATCAATGATCAAGTTTCACGTTCCAACCTTATACCAAGTTCCAACCTTTACACCGCTCCATCCTTATATCAGTTCCAACTTGTACCTCCCGGCCACCCTGTACAACCAGTCCAACCTTATCCCTTCGGAGACTATGTTCCCCGCCTGTTTTACCGCCTGCTTGCCGCCAGCTTTTCATTAAACATGATCATGATCTATCATAACGCTTTTCATTTGAGCAAAGCTCATTACCGCCAGCTTTTATACACATAGTCACATAATCATTGACATAGATAATCAAGGCTCATTCATATCCCAATCAAAGAACAATCATGATAAGGTACAACATTTGTACAAGTTCACAAAGAGAGGTTCAATTGAAGAACTCAAGAAAGATTACAAAGGAAACATTCCAAGGTAATATCACATAACGAAAGGCTTCCAAATCAAAGGACTACAACAATTGGTAACACAAGTCACCAATCCTCATCAAGAATAAGGAAGATCAATATGAGGTAAACATAAAGCTAGCATGCAATTCAATCAAGATAATCATAAAGCTCATACGAACA